CCTATGTGTCTTACCTACCTTTCTTTGTATAAATCTTAGTCCTGGCTTCGTCTCTGTAGATGCCTTCCTTTCTCATTACATTGTAAAATGCTCCAAACTTCAGAACACCCGTGACTTAACCTGATTCTTTTTTCCCCCTTCTCCTTTGGATTTTCTTTCTTCTGCCTTGGGTATTTGGTCCATTATTATTTCCCCCACTCCCTCAGTGTTTTTGTTCCTACCTTTTGTGGGCCCCTAGCTCCCCTGCAGTGCTCCTCTTTCTTAGTATTTAACTCACTCCACTATACTACTACTACCTCTCTTCCTCCTTTCCTACTGCCTCTCTTGTCCCGTCCCTGTCTGTTGGCCTATATATACTGCCTCTTCCTCTGCTTTTTGTTAGTGTGACTTTGTAAATGGTCTAAGTCGGACTGAAACATTGACGTAAGCTCCTCTCTCCTGTGTGCGGGTTATTTGTGTATTGCTCCAGTCATGGTATTGTGCTTTTTGTTATTTATTGATATCCATTTTAACCATGCATCGTTGTTACCAATCCTTGTGGAGTAAAGCCTATAGGGCCAGGAGGCTTACCAAATAATATGGTACACATTAATATTACATCCATAATGACCATTATGAGTATTTTTTCCAATTCATTGGAAAGTAGGCTTAATTTTTTCTGCTTTGCTCTCATTCTGGTTAGTCTGAGTTAAACATCCAAATTAGGTTCTAGTGAAAAAATTAATGCAATCAATGAAACAACAGTTATTAATCGTTAGTCTTAATTTCATCTGAACTTAACCCACTTATTTCGTTTCCTAACTTCATTTCATCCTCAGTAGGATAATAGAATTGGCACCATTTATTTCTTTGTCACCATTAAAAATTACCGAATATTCAGTAGAACGAAAACGGTGAACCTGGCATTCTTTTTTCAGATCATTGATATAATATCATGCCTCATGGAATGCATTAATTGAAGAGGCCTAGTGGATGTCAACAAAGGAAAGCAAAAAATGAAAAAGTTAAAAAATGGCTGGGACTATGGTTCAGTATCTCAAGAAATCCGATAATGACCTGAGTTTATCAAATGATTTTAGTCATAATCTTACTGATAACACTGATATCGATTCTGACACCGACAATGGTAATATAAGCGACAGGAATGAAGGGAATGAGAGTCTGCGAGAGTTAGCATCGAAGTGTGACGTTTCTTCTTGGAAAATTCCAGTTCCAGACCATTCCAGGATTGAAATCATCAAAAGAGGTAGTTACGTTTATCAGAACAAGGATGGCCCTTTTCATGTTACAAAGAGAAAAAATGCAAAAGGTGATGAGCATCAGCTTTCTAAAGAATGGTTCTACAAACAGATGCAGAATGGTGAGAAAGTTTTGCGATCATGGATGGTATACTCGCCAGTCAGTGGGAAATTATACTGTTACTGCTGTAGATTTTTTACCTCTAGTGTTACAAGTATAACATCCAAGTTTGTGACTGGGTTTCAAATATGGTGGAAGCTGAACCCAAAAGTACACAATCATGAAACTTCTGATGAACACCTAAGTTGCCTCGACAATTGGAAAACCATGGCAACCGGTTTAAGGGTGAAAAAACCATAGATGCAGAAATAATTGTTTCAATGGAAATCCAGAAGAAAAGGTGGAAGGAAATATTGTACAGGTTGCTTGACATTACACAGTTTCTGGCTAAACAGAACTTAGCATTTCGCTGCCACAGGGAGGACGAATTCTCATCAAATAGAGGAAACTTTCTTGAGATGGTTGAATTAATAGCTAAGTATGATCCTGTGCTAAAACAGCACCTAATGAGACTGAAGTGCAGCTCAAGTGAACACAGGTCATCAGTTTCATATTTCTCACCAACTCAAAATGAGTTTTTAAGTGTTCTAGCAAACTGAGTCAAAAGAGAAACTCGTTACTGATATCAAGAGAGCTGTATACTACAGCGTTATGTTTGACAGTACACCTGATGTGACACACATTGACCAAATGTCAGAAGTTATCAGGTACATGCAAATGGAGGATGGAAGAGTTCAAGTGAAGGAAGTTTTTCTTGTTTTTTTTCCTTTGAAGGGCAAAAAAGCTGCTGATATCAGTTCTGATATCCTGAAAAAGCTGGAAAGTGATGGACTGGACTTCATGCTGTGCCGTGCTCAGGGATATGACAATGCTGCCACCATGGCTGGGGTCCATGGAGGTGTACAAGCCATTCTTAACCCTTTGGGGGTTGCTAGGCCCTCTCAGAGACTTGTTCTCAGGGTCGCCAAAATTTCAAAAAAAAAAAAAAAAAAAAAAAAAAAAAATTATTTTTTTCTTATGAAAAGAGAGAATCTTTTCCTGATCATAATGGTACCAAAAGTATGAAATTTGATGGAAAACTTACAGAATTATGCTCTCGCAAAGTTAGCAGTCTCAACGATGTTTACGCATAGGCGATTTTGCCCACTTTGAGCCCTATTTTCGGCCAATCCAATGTACTAGTCGACAAAAATCATAACTATTTCGCTAGAACTCCATTTTTCTATCGAAAGAGTACAAGTAACCACCCATTTACCGATTTCAACTATCCAATAAATTGGTCAGAATTTTGCAATTTTGCCAATTTCTCGCAAATTTCAAAAGATGCCAATTTCCGAATAGGGTCCAGAATTAACAAGAAAGACATTCCTGGCACTAAAATAACAAGTTCTCTGTTCGTCGGTAACATCCCCAGGCCCCTCTTATATTTCTTTGGCTTTCCACTTTGAATTTTTATTCTTACAAAAAATAGAAGATTTACTGTTATGCAGACTATTGCATTAGTTTAGAAATGGTATAAATAATATCAGCACACTTGTGAAAGAATATTAGACTCACCAGTTGACGTGTATTGGACGCTTGGCATGATTTGTTTACTTTTGAACTTCGGTAAAAATCGAACATTTCTGCTACTCTGAGCTCAATTTCAAGGTACTTTTCTTTGTAAAACCAGTCAAAATCATCTCAATTTCTGTAATATGTCTTCCATTCTATAAAATGAGACCAAGAAAACTAGAATACAATAATAAATACCATACGAAAATACAGTGCAAAGTCGCTGTTTTAATCCAAAAACATGGTCAGTTTTTTTCTCATTACGCACTATGTGCTGCAGGATTTTTTTTATACTGCGCACACTGACCACATAGACCCATTCTTTCATATGCAGGCCTACCAGCTTTCTCTCACTAGATTTGAGGGCGCTAGAATTTAGGCGTATTAGTACGTCAAGAACCCTGGGGCGTAAGCTGTACTAGTACGGCCGAAACCCCCAAAGGGTTAAAGAAAAGAATAAGAAGGCAATTTTCAGTGGCTGTGTGGACTATTAATTGAACTTGTGTGGTCAGCATTCTTTTGCCGAGAATTTATCATGTGTAAAATTTTTTGGCAGTCTTGAGACAGCGTATACATTCTTTGCCTCCTCCACCCATCGATGGGATGTATTAATGGACCATACTGCAGTCTCTTCGAAAGGATTATCAACAACACGATGGAGTTCTCATTACAATGCAGTGAAACCAGTCGAAGAATCTTTCGAGAAATTTGTGGTAGTAATTGAAACTCTTTGCGATCCACGGGAAAATTTGGATACAAGAGGAGCAGCACAAGGTCTTCTCCCTGCTGTGTGCGATTTCACATTTCTGTGTTATCTGCATTTCTGGTGTGACATACTTCGGGAGGTTCAGCTTGCACAGCAGTACTTGCAGACTAAGGATTTAACTCTTGACTAAGTGGTGGTGAAGCTAGAGGCATTTGCGGTTATTTTTGAATGAAGGGCGAGATTGCATAGTGGAAAATTTAATACAACAGGCACTTCTGAAATGTGAGAAGTATGGATTTCCAACAGAAAGAAGAATCAGGTTAAAGAAAAGGATGGCAGGGGAGCAAGCAAGAGATTCCGGACTCACTCTACAGGAAGAAAACAAGAGGGCGATGATGGAGTGCATTGATCGTTTACATAATGAACTCGAGATACGATCAAAAGCAATCAAGGATGTGGCAGCCATGTTTGTGGTCATTCAAACAAAGAATCTTGTACAAGCTACTGAAGAAGAATTGGAGGAGATGGCTTCGAGACTCACTGTCTTCTATAATGAAATATACAAGAATGAGCTCATGCTTGAAATACCAAGACTAAGGAGGCACCTGCAAGTTGCTGATGTTGATCTTGAAAAAGTTAAGCACTGGACTACACTGGATGTACTAACATTCATAGTTGAATGGGATTTCATTGAATCTCTTCCAACTCTGACACTCTGCCTGAGGTTGTTCCTTACTATGTGTGTTTCTGTGGCTTCTGGGGAAAGGAGTTTCTCCAAGTTGAAGCTGATTAAAAACTATTTATAGTCCAAAATGAGTTGATCCAGAATCTTTGACATAGCAATGAATGTTATCCATAGAAAATGGGTCAGTTGACAGCATTGATTTTGATGAGGTGATAGATGATTTTGCAGGATTGAAGGCAAGGAAATGCATGATCTGATTCACTGAGATGTTACCTGTACTCAAGGTCAGATCAGAACTAGTGTTTCTCTGATATTGCAATGTTTTTCTTTATTTTTCAAGTTTTTTTTTTTTTGGCATTGTTGAAGAATAATAAATGTAGGATGTGTTAGCTGTACTCAAAGTGATATTTGAGTTTATGTTTCTTCAATATTACTACGATTATTTTATCATTAATAAAGTTGAGAAGTATTCTTCTGTTAAGTTTATGGCCCTTAAACGTTCTCATTGTTAAACATTTGTCACTGGTCATGAAGTAGTGACGTAACTGGAGTTTACTCCACCCCCCCCCCCTTGGATTTCATGGGGGTGACACCAAAGATGCCGCCCCGGGTAACACCAACCCTAGCAATGCCTCTGAGTCATTCAGATATGCAACTCCCTTAAAGAAGTTCAAGTGAATATGGTATCCAAACAAGAACTGTTTTAGATTACCATTTTTCTGTTGAAATTTTTTGGCATAAAAAACAAAAAGCAAATATGAGTATTATTTTATTATGTATAAAATTATTTTATCATTTGGCTTTGGTAAAAAAGAAGTTTAAATGCTTTGCATTTAAGTGCTTAATACTCTGTACTTTAAGCTTGTAAGAAGCAAAGTCTTTATATATAAAATAAAAAATAGTACAAAAAACCTATGGCACTGGTTTAATTGGTCTCAACAAATAAAGATTCCACATGATATAAATATTTCCAGCATAGTATTCTCTCCTTCAATTTTGTCGACTTTCATTTTAATACTAGTTAAACCACAATTCCAGAGGACTATAATGTTTACTACCTCACTCTACAATCATGAAGTTGCAGCTAACCAACATGGAGAGGAAAATTTAGACAATGTTTCAATTTATCCTCAGGAATTATCAAGTCACAACCAAGATAATGACTCAGTGAACTGTTCCAGCTGTGGTATTTGTGACTTATTCAACAACAATCATGAAGCTATTTTTAGAGAATTTTAGCAGGAAAACCTTTATTATACAACACTGCACTCATAGTGGAGATTTATCACTAAAGACAAATAACTAAAAAATCTGCTTATTTTTGTGCACTTGATAAGTCCCACTATGACTGAAATGTCATATGTACAGGTTTTCACTGCTAAAAAGTATCACTGAAAATACCACTTGTCAGCTTATGCCACTGTCAACCCAACAATTGTGAGGCTGAAAAAAAAAAAAAAAAAAAAAACCTGTTTCCAGTACCACTTTATATATATAAAAAAAAGACAAAGAAAAACAGAACGAGATAAGTGAAAAAGAAAATTAAAAAATGTAATTTTCATCATTAAACACTAGATGTGGTATTATTTTTTGTTAGTTGCAGTGTTGCTAAACTGGTAAGTGCTCTCACTCCCACTCACTTGCATTAATGAAAGACAGAAAAGGTAAATGTCCCTCTCTACTTTATGACAAACTTAACTCAAGAAAAACTGTTTTAGAAGCTTTCAGGACTCAGTTGACTGCTTTGAGTGGAGATGGTGGAGGAAGAATACCTGTGGTTCCCAGGTCACTTGATCTTTGTTCAACTAATTTCTGGCACAGGATATCCGATGTGTGTTCTTCAAATTTTTTGTACCTATAAGAAACAAATTAAATGCAGTGTAGTATAATACAAAACAGTGGATGTGAAAACAAATTTGTAATCTTTCCCACAATGGCATAATGACCTGAGGAGGGAAATTATTATAATCATGGGGGAACGCTAAACACGTAGGGTTATACAGCGCCTGAGAAAGGAAAACACATTCACCCTCACTTAGTCCCTAGCTGTCTTTCCAGAAATGCATAGTATCACAATTTAATTGTTAAAATAAACCTCTACATTCTTCACCAAGGAGATACTGCTTCCTATTTTAAGAACTAGAGTTCAGTACATCAGTTTCCCTGAATCCCTCCACAAATATTATCTTGATTACACTCCAACAGAACTTTACATAAAACCCCATGAACCACGCATCACACCACTTTGCAATCACACTATGTTTACAAACTCTCTTGATTAACTTATCTAGCTTCATCAATTCTTGGTGACCAAACCATCTCAACAATCCTCTGTCAGTTCCCTAGGTTATATAACTATAGAATTTTTTTTCAATGAACTGGCCCCATCCCCCCAAGGCAGGGAGACCTAAAAAGAAAAACAAAACTTTCTTTTTTAAATTTAGTAATTTATACAGAAGGGGTTACTAGCCCCTTGCTCCGGGTGTTTTAGTCGCCTCTTATGACATGCATGGCTGGCAGAGGAAGAATTTCCTTCCACTTCCCCTTGCAGATAAGAGGAAATAAAGAAGAACAATTAAATAAAATAGAAGAAAACCCAGATTTTTTTATTAACACATCGACCTTCTCCCACGAAGGCAGGGTGACCCAAAAAAGAAAAACTTTCATCATCATTCACTTCATCAATGTCTTGCCAGAGGGGCACTTACACTACAATATACAGCGGACACTCGTTTTCGTAGCATCAGAAGTCGTAATTTTCAAAAACCGTAACTTTTTTCGTCAAAATATTGACTCGTGAATCGTCGTTTGACTTGCAAATAGTCGTTCGTCCCAGACGCGGCCACAGTCAGTGTCCCATTGTTTATCAGCGAATGAGCACGATCCTAGGCATTCAAACGATACATTTTGTAATAGTCCATTCCTTTTAGTGCTTGCAACTGCTAAATAAGCACCATAAGCTGAAAGTAAGCTAATGCCAGCCCTTTGGTAAAAAAGGTGAAAACATGATAGAATTAAAGAAAAAGATTGTAGAAAAATACAAACATGGTGGTGCTAGTGGTTGTGATGGTGGAAGAGGGTGTTAGTGGTTGTGATAGTAGTTGAGGGTGGTAGTAATGGAGATTTGTGCAATGTGTGGTGTAAATACTATTATGCAGAAAATTCGGAGTGTGGAAATTAGGAAAAGGTGTGGAGTTAATAAAAGTATTAGTCAGAGGGCAGAAGAGGGGTTGTTGAGGTGGTTTGGTCATTTAGAGAGAATGGATCAAAGTAGAATGACATGGAAAGCATATAAATCTGTAGGGGAAGGAAGGCGGGGTAGGGGTCGTCCTCGAAAGAGTTGGAGAGAGGGGGTAAAGGAGGTTTTGTGGGCGAGGGGCTTGGACTTCCAGCAAGCGTGCGTGAGCATGTTAGATAGGAGTGAATGGAGACGAATGGTACTTGGGACCTGACGATCTGTTGGAGTGTGAGCAGGGTAATATTTAGTGAAGGGATTCAGGGAAACTAGTTATTTTATACAGTGGACCCCCGCCTTACGATATAATTTCATTCCAGAAGTATGTTCAGGTGCCGTTACCGAACGAATTTGTTCCCATAAGGAATATTGTGAATTAGATTAGTCCGTTTCAGACCCCCAAAAATATAAGTACAAAAGCACTTACATAAATAAACTTACATAATTGGTCGCGTTGGAAGCTGATCGTAAGGCGGGGGTCCACTGTATAACCGGACTTGAGTCCTGGAAATGGGAAGTATAATGCCTGCACTCAAAAGGAGGGGTTTGAGATATTAGCAGTTTGGAGGGATATATTGTGTATTTTTATACGAATGTACTTCTAAACTGTTGTATTCTGGGCACCTCTGCAAAAACAGTGATTATACGTGAATGAGGTGAAAGTGTTGAATGATGATGAAAGTATTTTCTTTTTGGGGATTTTCTTTCTTTTTGGGTCACCCTGCCTCGGTGGGAGACGGCCGACTTAAAAAAAAAAAAAAAAATAGGGAACTGAAGCCCCCTCACCAGCATAAAGGTTCCTTGACACTGGTGAGGGGCTCTTGATCAGGGGAATTGGATATGTGCTCCAGTTCCCTAAATTAATAATAAATAATAAAAATAATTATTATAACAACAATAGAGCTTCAGTTCCCTAAATTATCAATAATAATTATAAGAATCATTATTACAATTACGTACGTATTATGTACATAATACGTACATAATAATTATGAATGCTGCCGCTAGTTGGCGCAGCTTATTTCAAAACATCCGGTAAGCAGTACATGTTTACACTGCTGTGGGAGCAGTTCTCTCCTGCTTTGCTTACATTTTTGACAGTAGTTTGGCCAAATTTCACTTTTCTAACCATGGGTCCTAAGAAAATAAGTGCAAAGGACAGCTGAGAAGAAAAAGACAACGATTTCCATGGAAATAAAGCATGAAATCATAGATAAACATAAGCAAGGTGCACGAGTTGTGGATTTAGCCAGACAATACCAGCGAAGTACATCTACTACACGTACGATACTAAAGCAGCAGGAGTCGATAAAGACTATAGAGTCAGCCAAGGGCGTTACAGTAACGTCTAAGCTGCGGACCTCTGTCCATGAAAAGATGCAGAAGCTGCTGCTGACGTGGTTGAGAGAGAAGCAGCTCACAGGAGAAACCGTGACTGAGGGTATCATCTGTGAGAAGGCACGAGGCAGTGAAAAGTAAGGACAAGTGAAAGAAGTGAAAAGTTAAACAAAATAAATTATATCAGTTATGTTCAGTGATTTAACAAAATAAATTATATCAGTTATATTCAGTGATTTAACAAAAACTGTATCAGTTAAGTGATAAAACAAATTGTAAGAGTTAAGTTCAGTGATGAAACAAAACAATGTTGTTGTTGGAGGTTTACAGGGCCACTAACATCATACGCCACACTGCGAATCTCCCACCCTCAACCTCCTCTACGCTCAAGCTCCCCACACTCAACCTCCACCACCATCTCTGCTCTAAGTGTGTAAGTACATATACACTTTTTTTTTTCTTTTTTTTTTTTTTAACACTTTGACCGTCTCCCACCGAGGCAGGGTGAGCCAAAAAGAAAGAAAATCCCCAAAAAGAAAATACTTTCATCATCATTCAACACTTTCACCTCACTCACACATAATCAATGCTTTTGCAGAGGTGCTCAGAATACAACAGTTTAGAAGCATATACGTATAAAGATACACAACATATCCCTCCAAACTGCCAATATCACAAACCCCTCCTTTAGAGTGCAGGCATTGTACTTACCATTTCCAGGATTCAAGTCCGAAATATAAAAATAAACGGTTTCCCTGAATCCCTTCACTTTATATAAACAATTTTCTTTTTTTCAACAAGTCGGCCATCTCCCATCGAGGCAGGGTGACCCAAAAAAGAAAGAAAATCCCCAAAAAGAAAATACTTTCATCATCATTCAACACTTTCACCTCACTCACACATAATCAATGCTTTTGCAGAGGTGCCCAGAATACAACAGTTTAGAAGTATACATATACGATAAACCCCCCCTTAAACGAAAATCCCAAACCCTATTAGAGTAGGGATTGTAATCCTTTGATACCGTGTATGATTAACGGTGTCTGAATTCGCTAAATACTACCCCGTCAACTCAACCTGTCAGGCAAAAAATTGGTCCCGTACTCCACCTGAACAGTACGCAACTGCTGGAATGAAACAATTCCTTAACCTTTTGGGAGTCCATACGATAAACCGCCTTCCTACAATTATATACCCTCCAACTACTTGATCCAATTATCCCAAACCCACCATAGAGTGCAGCATTTCTTCACCTTCTGACTCAAGTCGTATATATAACATCACACGTTTCCCTGAATCCCTTCGCTAAATACTACCCTGCTCATACTCCAACAGCTCGTCAGGTTCCAAATACCATTTGTCTCCATTCACTCCTACCTAACATGCTCACGCAAGCTTGCTGGAAGTCCAAACCCCTCGCCCACAACACCTCCTTTACCCCCTCCCTCCAACCTTTTCGAGGATGACCCATAACCCGCCGTCCTTCCCCTACAGATTTATACACTCTCCATGTCATTCTACTTTGATCCATTATCTCTAAATGACCAAACCACCTCAACAAACCCTCTTCAGCCCTCTGACTAATACTATTATTAACTCCACACTTTCTCCTAATTTCCACACTCCGAATTTTCTGCATAATATTTACACCACACATTGCCCTTAGACAGGACATCTCCACTGCCTCCAACCACCTCCTTGCTGCAGCATTTACAACCCAAGCTTCACACTCATATAAGAGTGTTGGTACTACTATACTTTCATACATTCCTTTCTTTGCCTCCATAGATAACATCTTTTGCCTCCACATATACCTCAATGCACCACTCACCATTTTTCCTTCATCAATTCTATGATTAACCTCATCCTTCATAAATCCATCCACTGACACGTCAACTCCCAAATATCTGAAAACATTCACTTCTTCCCTGCTCCTCCTCCCCAATTTGATATCCAATTTTTCTTTATCTAAATCATTTGATACTCTCATCACCTTACTCTTTTCTATGTTCACTTTCAACGTTCTACCTTTACACACACTTACATAATTTATATAAACAGTTTATTATTTCTTTACATTCTGTAGTGTAATATGATTTATTATGTGTTTATATACGATATTTTCAGTGTTTTCCATAGAAAACTAGTGATCTACTGCAGTTAGCCTAAAAAATATTCTGTTTTCTCTTATAATAAGAGCATGGGAAGATACTATATAGTCAAAGTTGGACAGGAAATAGCGGATTCTTCCGCCACTGCCTCTGCCACCATATTATGGCCTATTTTATTCATTCTAGAGTATATATCATGTCTCTTTGTTAACCCTTTCAGGGTCGCCAGGCCCTCTCCGAGACTTTCATATGTAGGCCCTCCAGCTTTCTCTCACTAGATTTGAGGGCGCTAGAATTTAGGAGTACTAGTACGTCAAAAACCCTGGTGCGTAAGCCGTACTAGTACGGCCAAAACCCTGAAAGGGTTAATTATATAGTTTATTATGTCATATTAGATGAATTGTGATAGATAAATAAGCTATACAGTTGATAATAGCCTCATATTCAAGTATTTTTTCTCGTCTCTCCAGAGTGCAGGAACGGATTAATGGCTTTTCAGTTAATTTAAACAAGGAAAATTAATTTGATACACGAGTAAATTGAGTTACGATCTAGCTCCTTGAACGAATTAAACTCATAAGTCAAGGTTCCACTGAATAGTGACTGTTAAATTTTTGATGCTGAACTAATAAGCAAAATTTTAAATACTGCTTTTACAATCTGTAGGTGAAAATAATTTAAAAATTATTGGCAGAATCTAAGGAACATATATTAAACACCAAATTTTTATACCCCAAAATTTTTTTTTTATTAACACAACGGCCATCTCCCACCAAGGCAGGGTGGCCCGAAAAAGAAAAACGTTTATCGTCATTCATTCCATCACTGTCTTGCCAGAGGCGTGCTTACACTACAGTTATAAAACTGCAACATTAACACCCCTCCTTCAGAGTGCAGACACTGTACTTCGCTTCTCCAGGACTCAAGTCCAGCCTGCGGGTCTCCCTGAATCCCTTCGTAAATGTTACCTTGCACACACTCCAACAGCATGTCAAGTCCTAAAAAACATTTGTCTCCATTCGCTCCTCTCTAACACGCTCACGCAATCATTTAATAAAATCAAAATTTACACGAAACAAAAATAAATACTAATAACAGCCCATGCTACACATGAACCAATCATAAATTAAAAATTAAAATATAAAAATAAGCTGAAGAGTTTGATACTGTTTTTAAAGGTGAATTTTGAAATGAAAAATATCACTATGAATGATTACTAAACCCACACTCACTGTTTCGTGGTATCACGTGGGGCAATTAAGACCTAAAATATTAAGTTCCGCATGCAGACAGCCGGTGTAAGGCAGACACATGGCTATAAACGTCCCCTAGCCATCCCTTGTGTTACCATTAAGTACAGTGGAACCTCAAAAATCGAACTTAATCCGTTCCAGGAGCTAGTTCTAAATTCGAAAAGTCTGAAATTCGAAGCAATATTTCCCACAAGAAATAATGGAAATACAATTAATCCGTTCCAGAAACCCAAAAATATTCACACAAAAAATACATTTTATAGAGATTAATTACAGTTTTACATACAACAAATACTATAGTTTATTTAATTATGTATAGTAATACACATAAAATAACATTTTTACCTTTATTGAAGATTGGTGATGGCATCTGGAAGATAGGGAGGAGGAGAGAGGGAGTTGGGGTTAGTGTTTGGAAGGAGAATCCCCCTCCATGAGGACTTCAGGTAAAGCCCTCTCTGGGGTTACTTCCCTTCTCTGTCTTTTAATGCCACTAGGACTGGGGCCAAACACTTCATGGACCCACTCTTTGAAAATTTGTCTTGTGACCCATGCCTTACGATTAGCTTTCCACAAGACACATAACTTGTTCTTAACCCTTTGACTGTCGCGGCCGTATATATACGTCTTACGAGGTACCGTGTTTGACGTATATATACTCAAATTCTAGCGGCTTCAAATCAAGCAGGAGAAAGCTGGTAGGCCCACATGTGAGAGAATGGGTCTGTGTGGTCAGTGTGCACCATATAAAAAAAATCCTGGAGCACGCAGTGCATAATGAGAAAAAAAAACTCCGACCGTTTTTTTGTAATTCAAATGCTGACTTTGTGGTCTATTTTCGTATAGTATTTATGGTTGTATTCTCGTTTTCTTGGCCTCATTTGATAGAATGGAAAACATATTATAGAAATAGAGGTGATTTTGATTGCTTTTACTATAAAAAGAACCTAGAAATGGAGCTCAAAGTAGGGGAAAATGTTTGATTTTTGCCAATGATCAAAAGTAAACAAATGATGCCATTGTGCAATAAATGTCCAACTAGCCATTCTAATATGCAGTAATGAATGGGTTGATGTTATTTATACAATTATTACAGTATTGCAGTAGTCTGCATAATAGTAAGTCTTCTATTTTTTGTTTGAATACAAATTCAAAATAGAAAGCAAGAGTAATATCAGAGGGGCCTGAGATATGACTGATGAGCAAAGAAAATGTTATTGTAGAGCCAGGAATGTCTGCATTGTTCATTCTGGACCTTATTTTGAAATTGTCATATTTTTTAGTTTTCGTGAAATTGGCCAAATTGCAAATTTCTGACCACATTATTAGGTAGTTGAAATCGGTAAATGAGCAGTTTCTTGTACTCAATCGATAGAAAAAATGGAGTTCTAAAGAAATAGCTATGAGTTTCGGCGACTGGAACAATGCAATTAGCCGAAAATAGGGCTCAAAGTGGGCGAAATCGCCTATTTGTAAACAGCGCCGAGGTCGCTAACTTCGCGAGAGTAATATTCCGTCAGCTTTCCATCAAATTTCGTTTTTTTTTTGGTGTCATTACAATCGGGAAAAGATTCTCTATCATTTCATAAGAAAATTTTTTTTTTTTTGTTTAAATTTTGCGACACCAGGAGACACCTCAGGATTGGGGGTTGCGACAGTCAAAGGGTTAAAGACATTGTTTTTCTTAAACACTCTGGGATTTTCTGAATGATACACAAGTAAAGGCTTCACTTTAAAATCACCACTAGCATTAGCACAGAACAAAAGAGTAAGCCTGTCTTTCATAGGCTTGTGTCCTGGCAGTGCCTTTTCCTCCTGTGTGATGAAGGTCCTCTTTGGCATTTTCTTCCAAAACAAGCCTGTTTCATCACAATTAAACACTTGTTCAGGTTTCAATTCTTCACTGTCTATGTACCCCTTAAACTCCTGTACAAACTTCTCAGCTGCCCGTTTGTCTGAACTGGCTGCCTCACCATGTCTTACAACATTGTGTATGCCACTACGCTTCTTAAATCTGTCAAACCAGCCTCTGCTAGCCTTAAATTCACTATCAGCACTGGTTCCAGGAGTTTTCTGTACCAGATCGGCATGCAACTTCCTTGCCTTTTCGCAAATAATCGTCTCTGAAACATTATCACCTGCAATCTCTTTATCCTTGATCCACACCAGCAACAACTTCTCAACCTCTTCAACTATTTGTGGTCTTTTTTTGGTTAGCATATTAACACCTTTCGCAACATCAGCTTCCTTGATTTGTTCTTTCTTTGACAGGATAGAACCGATGGTCGACTTGTTTTTCCCATACATCCTGGGAAGCTCAACAAGTCTCACACCACTCTCATACTTCTGTATTATTTCCTTCTTCACATCTATGGTGTTTCTCACTTTCTTTACCACAAGGGTACCATTAGCAAGTTTCTTTGGGCCCATGGCAGCTTATTTCACAGTCCCACAAGCACTAAACACAACGAAATAATCGTAAAATGCGTGAATGAGAGCGCAGGTTAGTGTTCACTCAAACATAAACAAAGCTAGACTACTCACAGCGCCTGCGCGGGGACGCGGACAGAGCAGTCGGCAGACAGGTCCCGTACCCGGCGGTCCGAAAATAGGGGCGCATTCGATAATAGGGACACAGTTTGTCCGAAAAAATGGTTCTATTTTTGAAAGGTTCGATATGTAATACGTTCGATTTTTGAAGTTCCACTGTACATACAAGCCTAACCCCTACAACACAGTTTGAGCATAAAAAAGTATTGCAACTCACATGGTAGATAAGTTGTCATTGGCATCCAGGACTAATACAGGAGCTGGCAGAGGATATTTCTTCTCTGTTAACCAGCCCTCATGTAAATTGTGGAGGGCCTCCAGATACTGAAAAGGAATTGCCTGCTCTTCAGACCGGGATCGTTCCTTAATACGTTTATAAAGCTTCTTAGGGTCAGTCTTCAGATACACTGAAAAAAAAAAAATGCATGTGAGTGAAGATTTGCCTTTAATGATTCAAAATGGTTTAGCTTGACTAAAAAAAAAAAAAAAAAAAAAAAAAAAAAAATTTGGATCCCTCATCCTTTTATTTTTTGGACTGGAAACAGGCATATAGGGTGGCAGTTTATTGGAGGAGCAGACAGTGTTTGCCCTGATTTTCATTTCAGCACTAGATGGAGCATAAAAGGAGCCCAAATGTTTCAGTCTGAGAAACAAATATACACTGGAATCCTGTGTGATATAGTAAATATACAGGTCCGTCATCACAAATCCGGCAATCAGTTATTCGGTTCCTTCAGTTATTCGGCACTAATTTTGGCTAGCATAATTTCAAATTTCCAGGGTCGCCACACCAACCTGCTGGTGCTGTTTGGTGGCGATACTTGCTGCATAAGTCATTCCAATTTCTTTTTCCCCATTTATTGTTTTAACCTGCTTACTTTTAGCCCTAGCCATAGTTCCAATGAATAAAAGAAATGCTTCTCATTATGTAAAGCACCTACACAGTACATTATCCATTAAAGATAAGGTGGCTTTGAAGCCACTGTCGGTTGTCATGAGCTTAGTCTCATGAAGCAGTAGAATATGCTTTATTATTACGCTAATATCAACACTACAGCTTATCTGCCTATCACAATTGATCTAATATGACATAAGAAACAATATAAATAACATAAAACATGTTAAATACTCCAGAATGAATAATATTTGGCATAACACCGAGCAGTTCGACAGAGTTATGAAGAGGATATGGTAAACAAATACCATTCTCCTATCCTTGTCTTGGTGTCTTATATTAGAGAAAACGGAGTATAGCACAGGGCTATGATATACACTCGTACTCCACCATAAACATGAAACAAAAAAGTTATTTTCTCTCTATAGATTATCACACACAGCAGCTTATGTGTAGAGAACCTAGGATAACCCCAAAAAAGTCAATGTGGCTTATTTTTAGTACCTGGCTTGGGTTAGTCATATATGATTTTTGGTAAATATTCGATTCCCATCCAGGGTAGAAACATTAGGCGTGTTTCTTTACACCTGTTATCTATGTTTACCCATCAGTAAATGGGTACCTGGGTGTTAGTCAACTAGTGTGGGTGTTATCCTGGGACACTGACCTAATTTTCTTGAAATACTCAGCATAACAAGTGCCTTTCTATACAGTAGTATGTCACTCGTATTGTAGATAGTCTTAATGACCCTCGTGTAGTAGATAGTCTTTTTAGTATGATAATAAGATGTTATCTTCATTATAGAATAATAAGAAAATATTATAACATTTTTTTTTTTTTCAACAAGTCGGCCGTCTCCCACTGAGGCAGGGTGACCCAAAAAAGAAAGAAAATCCCCAAAAAGAAAATACTTTCATCATCATTCAACACTTTCACCACACTCGCACATTATCACTGTTTTTGCAGAGGTGCTCAGAATACAACAGTCTAGAAGCATACACATATAAAGATACACAACATATCCCTCCAAACTGCCAATATCCCAAATCCCCCCTTTTAAAGTGCAGGCATTGTACTTCCCATTTCAGGACTCAAGTCCGACTATATAAAAAATAACGGTTTCCCTGAATCCCTTCACTAAATATTACCCTGCTCACACCCCAACAGATGTCAGGTCCCAAGTACCATTCGTCTCATTCATCCTATCTAACACGCTCACGCACGCTTGTGGAAGTCCAAGCCCCTTGCCCACAAAACCTCCTTTACCCCCTCTCTCCAAACCTTTCGAGGATGACCCCTACCCCGCCTTCCTTCCCCTATAGATTTATATGCTTTCCATGTCATTCTACTTTGATCCATTCTCTCTAAATGACCAAACCACCTCAACAACCCCTCTTCTGCCCTCTGACTAATACTTTTATTAACTCCACACCTTCTCCTAATTTCCACACTCCGAATTTTATATTATAATATACAGTGGACCCCCGCATAACGATCACCTCCGAATGCGACCAATTATGTAAGTGTATTTATGTAAGTGCGTTTGTGCGTGTATGTTTGGGGGTCTGAAATGGACTAATCTACTTCACAATATTCCTTATGGGAACAAATTCGGTCAGTACTGGCACCTGAACATACTTCTGGAGTGAAAAAATATCGTTAACTGGGGGTCCACTGTATTATATAATATATTATATTATAATAAGGTAAAAGGACCCCAATGGAAATAAGTCACTCTGTCTGACTTTTTTGGGTTATTCTAGGTTCTCTACACATATGCTGCTACGTATGATAATTCTATGTAACGGTACAGTGGACCCCCGCATACCGATTTTAATCCGTGCAAGAGGGGTAATTGTTATGCGAAATAATCGGTATGTGAATGAATTTTCCCCATAAGAAATAATGGAAATAAAATTAATCCATGCAAGACACCCAAAAGTATGAAAAAAAAATTTTTTTTACCACATGAAATGTTAATTTTAGTACACACAAACTGAAAAAGGCATGCACACTTACATGACACTTACTTTTATTGAAGATCTGGTGATGATTGATGGGATGGGAGGAGGGGAGAGAGAGTGTTAGTGTTTAGAAGGGGAATCCCCTTCCATTAAGACTTGAGGTGTCGAGCCCTTTTCTGGGTTACTTCCCTTCTTCTTTTAATGCCACTAGGACCAGCTTCAGAGTCACTGGACTTCTTTCGCACAACATATCTGTCCATAGTGGCCTGTACCTCTCGTTCCTTTATGACTTCCCTAAAGTGTTGTACAACATTGTCAGTGTACAGGTTGCCAACACGGCTTGCAATAGCTGTGTGAGGGTGATTTTCATAAAAAAAGGGTTTTGCACTTCAAGCCACTTTGCACACATTTCCTTAATCTTTGTAGTAGGCAACTTCTTCAATTTCTCTCTCCCCTCCTCTGAACCAGTTTTCTCAGGTCTGGCCTCTTGCTCTTGAAGTTGATCTATCAGCTCATCAGTTGGTTAGTTCTTCATTGTCCTCCTCCACCAACTCTTCCACATCCTCCCCACTAACCTCCAACCCCAAGGATTTTCCCCAATGCCACAATGGATTCCTCAACTGGCATAATCCTCTCAGGGTTAGCCTCAAACCCTTCAAAATCCCTTTTGTCTACACATTCTGGCCACAGTTTCTTCCAAGCAGAGTCAAGGTCTTCTTAGTCACTCCCTCCCAAGCCTTACCTATAAGGTTTACACAATTGAGGATATTAAAGTGCTCTCTCCAAAACTCTCTTAGAGTCAGTTGAGTTTCTGAGGTCACTACAAAGCACCTTTCAAACAGAGCTTTTGTGTACAGTTTTTTGAAGTTTGCAATAACCTGCTGGTCCATGGGCTGCAGGAGAGGAGTGGTATTAGGAGGCAAAAACTTCACCTTAATGAAGCTCATGTCCCCATAAAGTCGCTCTGCCACGTCTGTAGGATGACCAGGGGCATTGTCTAACACCAGGAGGCACTTAAGTTCTAATTTCTTTTCAGTTAGGTAATCTTTCACATTGGGGGCAAATGCATGGTGTAACCAGTTATAGAAAATGTCCCTAGTGACCCATGCCTTACTGTTTCCCCTCCACAGCACACACAAATTCTCCTTGAGGACATTCTTTTGCCTGAACGCTCTGGGAGTTTCAGAGTGATACACTAATAAAGGCTTAACTTTGCAATCACCACTAGCATTGGAACACATCAACAAAGTAAGCCTGTCTTTCATAGGCTTATGTCCTGGGAGTGCCTTTTCCTCCTGAGTAATGTAGGTCCTGCTTGGCATTTTCTTCCAAAACAGGCCTGTTTCATCACAATTAAACACTTGTTCAGGTTTCAGTCCTTCAGTCTCTATGTACCCCCTTGAATACATGCACATATTTTTCAGCCGCTTTGTGGTCCGAACTGGCAGCCTCACCATGCCTTATCACACTATGTTATGCCACTACGCTTCTTAAATCTCTCAAACCAACCTTTGCTGGCCTTAAATTCACTCACATCATCACTAGTTGCAGGCATTTTTTTAATTAAATCCTGATGCAACTTCCTAGCCTTTTCGCTTATGATCGCTTGAGAGATGCTATCTCCTGCTAGCTGTTTTTCATTTATCCACACCAATAAGAGTCTCTCAACATCTTCCATCACTTGCGATCTTTGTTTCGAAAAACACAGTTAAACCTTTGGCAAGAACAGCTTCCTTGATTGCCTTTCTGGTGCCCACAATAGTAGCGATGGTTGATTGGGGTTTCTTGTACAACCTGACCAGGTCGGCGATACGCACTCCACTTTCATACTTATCAATGATCTCTTTCTTCATTTCTATTGGAATTCTCACCCTTATTGGTGTAGGGTTGGCACTAGAAGCTTTCTTGGGCCCATGGTCACTTATTTTCCAGAAACAGCACCGAAAACACTGTAATAATACGAAATATTCCGATTGTATGCTTGGATGTTACCGCGGAGGCTGGCTGGTAAACAATGGCACGGGCGGCACATGTGAGGCTGGCTGAGGGCGCACATTGGACGCGTCTCGGACGAAAATCGGTGAGCGGGTTTTTAAGCGGTATGCGAGGCAAAATTTTTGCGATTAAAGCAAGCGGTATGCGGATTAATCGCTATGTGGTGCCATCGGTATGCAGCGGGTCCACTGTATTTGTGTATACCTGAATAAACTTACTTACTTACTGATGTCAGCTAGGCCTGTATACCTTGTACATGTACATGTAGTAAACAGATATTATTATTATTATTATTTATTATTATTTTCTCAGTTGTTTGTTGGGTTATCTTATTCAAACTTGGGCAATGTATGATGGAAAGATACTTCTTCACGTACACCAAAAATGAAAGAAATCAGACCATAAATAGCGGAGTTCGCTTCACAGCCATTAGCAGCCGCTTAGCGGTATATTTTTGTATGGTTGTTATGGTTATATTCTCATTTTTTCGGTCTCATTTGATAGAATGAAAGATATATTACAGAAATAGATATGATTTTGATTGCTTTCATG